GGACATCTTTTAGCGCATCTTAACATAGTAGTCCTCTTATAAGAAATTACGTATTGTTTTTAAATAGCAGAAACAAAAAAGCCTTTAAAATAAAACTATGTATAGTCGTATAAATACACCTCGGGAAGCACCGTGTGTGTGTATATATATATATATAGTCAAGTTTATTATAGGAACATCAGTTATAATTAGATTACATTATAATCTTCATTTTTTAATAAAAATTAAAAATTATCTAAATTTTGAATCTGTATATTAAAAATGGAAATAAAATGACAATTTAAAGATCGTTTTGAAGTAGCGAAAGTGAAACAAACATATCTATATAGATAGAGAAGAAGCAGAATATGAAAGCAAAATTTAAAGATGAGATCTCTATAAAATGTAAGATCGACGCTGTCGTTGGCGATAAAAATGTTTCGTGATCCGCGAGGGAAACATGTGCATCGGATAACGACATGATCGAAATCCCTCCTCTCCCTCTATCCTTTCGTCTTCTTTTTCTTTCGAACAAGAAAGTTTCTCTCGAAGGGTTTATAGAATCGGAAGCTATACGTGGAAATGTCCTATGGAGCAATCTTTCAGGCATAACAGGTATGACTAGTTAAACAGGTATTCCACTTCTATATATATATAAGAGAGAGAAGAGGGGGCAAAATTTTGCAAATTTCATTAGATTTTCGCTTTGCCTGTGGGGTAATGGGAGCCTTGGTGTTAGCTACATATGGCAATATTTTGTTTTGATTTTTTTTTTAATTTTTGCAATATTTCAACACTAAAAAAGCTATGTTTGTGATGTTCATATGTATTTCATTTACTTTATAAAGTGTGTAAGTTTTTAAAATTTTATATTTAATTTTAAAAGAGCTGTATTAGTTTTTTAAATTTAAATTTCTTTATAAAATATATAGGTAGGATATGTTAAAAAATGTTGATATAAAATAAAATTGAAAAAATAAAAATTTTATTATTCTTTTTTTAATTGTTAAGTGAGCGCTTCCATTGTCCCACAAGAAAGCTAATTTTTTTTAGGTTTATATTATCAGACATTATACGTAGGTAACCAAGAGATTGAAAAATGATGGAATTTACCTTTTATTAAAACAATCAGGTCGGTTATTTAATACTTTCCTTTAAGGCGCTCCAGAACATAACCTAATTTTATCGCCATAGTTCAAAACAAAACCCCAGCCATATATATATATTGGACAGTTCCCCCCTTAAGCATTTCTTTCAGTGTTGTTTATACATTTATTTTTATTTATTAATTTTTAAAAGCATTGAGTTTGTATAACTATAACCCTGATGTTTGTATAACTACCATCAATTTTCATATAAAAGAGAATTTCATAATTTTATTTTTAGATAATTAAATTGATGATTATTGATGTTTGTCGAATTTACTCAACTCAAATACATGTATTGTATAAAAAATGGTAAATGTCGTATCGCTATATTTCATAACGCGAAGATTAGATGTTAATCAATAAACAATTTCAATTATGGGTAATTCTTATTCAAATGTTTCCAGCCAAAAATTAAATATTCTTCGATTAGCTTCAACTTTTAATAATTACTGCTCTATATGAGGGTGTTTTTTAAAATATTAGCTCATTTAAACCAAATTATAGAAAAACTGACAATTGAGACACAGTGTCATGTGATTGTTCTTATTCCATATGTAGTTCAGGAAAATACTATATGGTCTTGATTTTAGCCTATTTTTGAGGCTTAATTTAAGGTATAAACGGTTTAAGACTTTATTTTTCTCGTTTTACTGTGTACAGAGAACATTTATATGCGTGGAATTAGAACAATCACATGACACTAATTTTGAGCAAAGAATGTTAAATAAAAAAACAAAATGTTAAACTACATTTTTTTGGCATTGAGAAGAAAATGAAGAATGCATGGGGAAAACCACTTGAGATACTCTTTAATTTAAAAAAATTCACAATTAAATAATATACTTAACTAAAAATTTAGCAACGAAATTATCACATTTTATCAAGATGTTAAAAAACACAAGTTTAATAAGATAAAAAAAACGCTTGCACGCAAAGCTTGATATATATTATCGCTGAGAGTATTTTTTGATGTATTTGAAGACTTGATCGATCCGTCATGGATAACTAATCAATTTGAAAGTCATTAACTGGTAAATTCTTATGAAATGTTTAAAATTTCCCGTGCAGAAATTGCCACTTTTCATCCCGATTACCGACCTGGCCCCGATCTGATTTCCTGTTCTGGCCCCGGGTTAGTAAATTTCTATGGGCCCGACCAGGGCCAGGCCTGGTTGCCATATTTAAAATTTGTAAAAAACTAGTGAAAATACATTTATAGCATTTTATGAAATTTTTTACTCTCTAAATCTGAATTAGTAAAAATGTTTACTAATTTGAATTAGTAACTCACTTTTTGCTTATGAATTAGTAAAATTTTACTAATTATTAGTAACTTTTACTAACAATTAGTAAAATTTAACTAATTCTAAAGCAAAAAGTGAGTCTTTTAAATTTTACTAATTGTTAGTAAAAGTTACTAATAATTAGTAAAATTTTACTAATTCATAAGCAAAAAGTGAGTCACTAATCTAAATTAGTAAACATTTTTACTAATTCAGATTTAGAGAGTAAACGAAACAATTATTCAAATATTTTTTTTCAACTTTTATTTCATTTTATAAGGTGTTTTTTTAAATGCAGATTCATAAAATAAAATAATATTGATTAATTTTATTGTTTTATTTATCAATTAGAGATAAATAATTATAATTTATTGAAAATTACAATTATTACTATAAGATCGGGCAAATTACCATGGCCCTGGTCGGGTCCCGACCAGGATTCTAGATCAGGCTAATTGGCATGGCCCCGGTCGTGCCTGGTCTGGGCCCGACCAAGGCTCAGTCAAATTTTCTGCACGGGTTGTATCTTGTATATATATACTTAATTATGGTATATAATAAAAATACTTGAAAAATATTGATTTATCAAGGCAGTATAATTTTAAGTATGATATACATACAGGGTGTTCCAAAAGTATGGAAACTTGCAAATATCTCGAAAAGTACGAATTTTCGTAAAAAATGTTCAATACAAAAGTTGTTCCAAATAAAAAGATCTACATTGTTGAAACCAAAAAATTGGGCCCCGGGCCCAATATTGGGCCCTACAATGAAAAAAGTAGTTTTCTTAAATGAGACCACCAATTTTGAATATCAAATTCGTAATCCCCATGAAATTCTGCGTTTAGACATGTGGTATAAGTGCCCAAAATATTGGGCCCAATCCAAGATATCGGGCCCAACATTTTTCGACAAACAAAAAAAAATTTTGAAAATCGTATATTTGGGGGTTTTTGGGGTCACAGGATTACAAAATTCAAAGCTACTTTTCAAATTGGGCACAGAGCCCAATGTAGGATTCCGCGGCCCAATGTAAGGCCCTCAGTAAAAAAAATTAGTTGTCTAAAATAAAACCCACTAATTTTTAGTATCCATTTCGTAATCGTCATGAAATTCTGGATTTAGTTTTGTAGTACAAATGCCAAAAATATTGGGCCCAATGTCTAGGATTGGGCCCAAAATTTGTTGACAAAGAAATAAATTGATTTGTAGAAAAATGTTGAATGTTGGGCTCAAGGTCTGGGATTGGATCCAATATTTTTGTAATTTGTACCACAAGTTTGAGACTAGAATTTCACAACGATTATGATTATGTCAACAAATTTTGAGCCCAATCCTAGACATTGGGCCCAATATTTTTGGCATTTGTACTACAAAACTAAATCCAGAATTTCATGACGATTACGAAATGGATACTAAAAATTAGTGGGTTTTATTTTAGACAACTAATTTTTTTACTGTGGGCCTTACATTGGGGCGCGGAATCCTACATTGGGCTCTGTGCTCAATTTGAAAAGTAGCTTTGAATTTTGTAATCCTGTGACCCAAAAACCCCCACAGATACGATTTTTTAAATTTATTTCTTTGTCGAAAAATGTTGGGCCCGATATCTTGGATTGGGCCCAATCTTTTGGGCACTTATACCACATGTCTGAACGCAGAATTTCATGGGGATTACGAATTTGATATTCAAAATTGGTGGTCTCATTTAAGAAAACTACTTTTTTCATTGTAGGGCCCAACATTGGGCCCGGGGCCCAATTTTTTGGTTTCAACAATGTAGATCTTTTTGTTTGGAACAACTTTTGTATTGAACATTTTTTACGAAAATTCGTACTTTTCGAGATATTTGCAAGTTTCCATACTTTTGGAACACCCTGTATAATGAAAAGTTAGTATATTTTTAAACGTTAAAATCCGATAAATAATATTCGTTAATATCTCATTATTAGCCAGAAAAATGTATCTGCAAATATTTTGTATTATTTTAATTGCCTATTCGCAGTATAAAGACCTACTGATGTTTTGGGTCAGCAATGTTTTTAAGTTGGTATATATATATAGCGAAAAATAAAGTTCTGAAACATTCAAACTTCATTTTCGTCGTCATTGTCATTATACATATATATTACGCAAGTGTGTCGAGGATAAAAAGACGCGTAAGAAACCGGAAAACACATAAGGTTTCCTGCTACTGTCAATTGTCGTCATTTGCAATTTTTTACGCAAAGACAAAATATTAATTCCTCTAGACCAACTTTCTAATTTAAAAGTAAAAAAAATATATAATATAATTAATTAAATTATCGAGTATTTACAAATTTTATTGTATATTAGTTTTTTTAAGTTTTGATCGGTTTCTATAATAACAGGGGAATTCCGTAACTTTTTTTCAACTTATAGGAAGAATTATTTATCATCAGTATTAATAATTAATGTTAATGCAGGGGTGCTACGAAACTTTTCACTGGCAAAGGGATTCCCCACATATGATCCTAGGGGTCCACCGGAGACTGAAGGGTTAGTAGAGAAATAAAATAATATAAAAAATATTCGTATTCTCTGATAAAAAATCAAGCTTTATACGCACCTTAAGATTATATGTCTGATAACAAAAATTTGATATTTTCCACATTGCTTAAATGGAAAAGAAAAGTTGACTAAATTGAACTGTATTAGTCACTGCATGTTCTGAAAATGGAAAAATTAAATTATAGCAAATTATTATACCCGAAAAAAGTAAACTAATCAAAAAAATTACTATATCTCAAAATAAATTATAACTATATATCTTAATAATTTATTAAATGTCATAATGGAAATTAAATAAATTTATGTTTAAACTACTTTAAAATTATAAATAAAAATAAAAGTGATATTATAAATGAATTAAGAATACAAAAAAGAAATATGATTTTCCAAAATGAATCTTGAGACAAAAAAATGCAAAAGAGACGCTATTCTAGTAAATCGAGACGTAGCAATATAGTCCGGTATTTTCGTTTTTTTTTATTTTACCCCTTATGCCGCGTGCTGTTGTACTTGCATAATGGTCCGTGTAATCAACAGCGAGTGACTGATCCCCGTGGCCTCTCTCTTTCGTTCACTATTTTTTCTCAGTCATTTTTCTGTTTTCTCTCAGTCCACAAGGGAACACAATAGACGCGTCATTGTCGAATGGAGCAAAAATACTGGCAATGCATTAATGTAAATCCCTCTTCCAAATACACACTACTGTACAATACATATATGTATGTATTTCTTGTATATGTCTGTCTTTCTCTTATGTATATTTTTTTCACTGCCAAAATTGCCAGAGTGCAGTACTGCGCCAGTCGTCAATTTTTTATAAGGTATATTTTAATTTTTGAATTTAAAAATTTTCTATCCTTTTTTATCGATAGAAAAGTTATACACTTTTCTAGATAATGCATAAATAGTATTAAAATTTCATAATTATTGTGATTTAAATTTAATAAAACAATTTTTAGTTTTTGAAACTTAATACATTCGTCTATTTTGAAGGATTGCTTATTTAATTAATATGAGGCAATACTATTAAATACCAAACAAGTATACGCATATTTCAATAATAACATTCTAACTTGCACTTCGTGTAAATAATCTCATAATACATATATGCCTATATCCTGATTTGAGAGAGAGAATTAATGTGTAAAGCAGTGTAAAGTTGTCATAATACAGAGTGACTATATGCATGATATGTACACACATGGTGTTAACTTACCGTCATATTTTACTTTCATATTTTATAAAAATGCGGACAGAGAAACAAAAGGGAAAAAAGAAGGGTCTATATACGACGACGACTACGACGCACGAATGAACCTTTTACAGGTTCGAGAAAAAGCTGCAGTACGGGTTTTATCTTTGATCTTTTCTCTCTCTCTCTCACTGTGTCGCTCGCTCGCTTCTAAATTTACAATCAAAGTGATTATTCCAGACGAAATCATTTTCCTACATTTTAGTGGAATTAAATTTTGAATTTAATTATATATATATATATAAAACATAAATCCATTTCCGTCTTATTTTGTTATAAATAAGAAAATCCGAAAAATCTAAAACTAAAAAAAAATTGTTTTTCAATGTATTAAATTAAGATTAAATTTTTTTTAAATTGTATAAGTATACACAGAAAAAAAAGTTTCCTGTGTTATCCACAGCATCTCTATAGCACCATTTTTAAAAACCGCAGTTGAAGTATTCATATAAAATGCTGACTTTTGGGAAACAAACAAATCTCATAGAGTATATCACACTTACATTTTTTGCGCATGCGTTATGGCTCTGTATTAACGCAAATAGAATTGTGCTGTTCCCAATTTATATGTCAAAAAGTCAATTTTCTTATAGTCTATACATGACAATTTATACAATTGTCTACTCTGAAAATTGCAGTGTTTTCGCTACAAGAAATTTTTTCCGTGTGTATAATGTACATATCTTTAGGAGTGAATATTACGCGCGTTTTAATACTCTGTAACTTGATTTCTTTCATATATTATTCATGATGGTTTTTTATATTCTGAAAAGAAGTAAAACATGATTTTTAGTAAATATTTCAGACTTACTTTTTCCTATTGATGGAAAAAATGAATTTAACACAAGTTATTTTTTTCAATCCACAAAAACAGAATCTTCAAAAGTCCAGTTTAAATTTTCTCTTATATATATATATATATATATATATATATATACAAGTGTTTGAAATTCTAGATTATAGTCACATATGTTTCCCATTTCCTTCGAGTCCTCGTGAGAAACGGTAATTAAAAAAAAAAAAACGCCTGTCGGTATATGAAAAAAGTAGATTTATGAGCATCCATTTTTTCACAAAATCTTCACAAATTCAAATACTTCAACGTCCTTTCAGAAGTATATACTTCTGCGTTCTGTGTTGCGCCAGTACTGGCAATTACTGGCAAAGTACTGACCGCCAATATTGAACCAATACACGCATATGTTTGGGATGATAACGTTTATTAGTAATGGCTTAGTACTGGCGTTCAGTAGGGGAGAGTGGGTCAAAATCGGGTAGATTTTTGGAATTCTCGGTTTACAAAGAACCTATCAAATAAATTAGTTCAAATCTCGTTGAAAATTCTTCCTTGAACATTAGAGAATGAGAAAATAAGGTCGTTTTGCCCCGCACTGCATTTTTTAACAAAATGTAAAATTCTCAGCTTATTGTTAATAAATTAACAATTCCTTTTAATGAAAATTACTCGTAAATAAATGCTGAAAAAGATGTTATACTGCTTGCCGAAACGAATATATCGACACAAAAAGTTTTTTAAGTGATTTACTTTCGATAAAAAATGGATTATCTTTTGACCTAAAATTTAAAAGTCGCATGAAATATAATAAATAAATTTTTATATAGTGGTGATATAATTAAAATGATGTTGGTTGTAATATAAAAGATATATGTAATGGGTGACACAAATGGAAATACCTATCATGGAAAACTGGGGTTACCCGGTTTTGCCCACTCTCCCCTACTGGTTCAAAACTGGAATTAAGCAGTAATTCTGTATTTTGCCAGTACGGGCAACCATATTAATAAGCCAGCACTGGTATATATTCAAAATTCAGGGCTCTTTTTGCTTTTTACATTAATTGAGCAGCTGGATCGAAGAACCGACTCTTCGCTCGAACCGCACGCGTTCATAGCATTAACTATCAATAATAATAAATTATTATAATAACTTTTAAATTGTTATTTTTTTATATTAACATTTTACTCTTTATTTTATTATTCAAATAATTTCTTCAAATATTATAAAATATGGCATTCGGTATTGAATTAATACTGACCGAGTACTGGTTTGCCATTACTGTCTCAATAATACTGGCATGCCGGTATTGGTTTGCAGTATTGGCACAGTACAGAATTTAATCCATATCAGCACTGAACCAATACTGGTAAGCCAACTGTCGGCTAGCCAATATTGGTGTATGATTGCGCCTGTTGTCAATATCGGCGTTTGACAGAAATTTTTGCTTGGGTAGGAACAGTAAAAGGGAAATATTTCTTAGCAAACTAAATGGTATACTCTCTAAAGAATTCGTGAAAAATGATCTACTCATTCACGTTAGTAAGAATTTTTTTAATTTTTACTAAAATATTACTATTTGATTTAGTAGTTTTTAATTTTTTTTACTAAAGTTTTAGTAAAAAGTGATACATCTCACTAGAATAATCTGTAATGATTCTCTTTAATTAGAAAGTGCTCCTTAAAATGTTCTAACAAAAATCCACTGTATTATTATAAAATAAACCTGCTAAAAACAAACAGAAAAAATGAAAAAATACACATATCTATTATATTTACATACACATATACATATAGTAACATGAGAAAAGTCTCTAAAAGTAGATAGGGCGTCGATGAAAAATAAACAAAAGAAAGGAGAGGCGTCAGTAGCCGAATGACAAAAGGAACATTGACCTCGTTGCATTTCGGCTTGGCCGGAGATTGTAACCTAAAAAAGGGGGGTTTCTAAAACAGAATGGGGAGGCAAAAAGAAAAAAAACGAGAGCGGTTCTTCTGGAAACTTCAAAGCGGCCATCGGGCTGCAATGTGCCAATCGGGGTATAAAATCAGGGACTGGGCTTCCTATCCCTCCTCGCCATCCCTCGTAATCAATATCAAACGACATAGGAAAGGAGCACCCCCCCCCTGCTTTTCCAACAACGAACGGGTGTAGTTGTACCGCGAACGAGCGAGAGAGAGACTCGAACATTATTTCTATGGATGATAGAGCGAATGAGGTGAGAGGGAAAGAGATGCTGAACTTGTTTGTCGAAAAGGACGGGGGAGGGGAGTTGTTGCTAATGTCCTGGTTAGTACGAGTTTCCTTTGTGATGACCCGCCACCCTACCTCTTTTCAGCACCAGAATGCAATTTAAGCCACCGCCTGCACGCGTACATCTCATCCATTCTCTCTCTTTCTCTCTCTCTGCTTTCATCTCTCGCTCGACGATCCCTCTGTTTAACTATTACCCACGTGCTATTGCAAGAAGCCACACAAACATCCCCAAAAACTCGTTCCGAGAAAAATAAAGGGAAAAAAAATGAAACGAGAATCATAACTTATTTTCAACAATATATACATATATTGATTCCGGAGAGTGAAATTCAATCACCGATTAAAGTAAATTTTTTATCAATATAATATTTTTATATAGGGAATCAGTATTAATATAATAATTTCATTTGGTTTTAGTAACTCTATTGTTTTCGAGAAAATTATAAAACATTTATTATTATTATTTCTTGAAACAGGGAAGGAGTTAAGGGCATATAGTACGATAATATAATAAATCAATAAAAGAAATTTTTTTAAAACTCGTATTTCTGGAAACTATGACAGTTAAATATACTCTTTTTTTATTTTAAAGCTAATAATTAATATTTTCTAAAACAAACTTGGTTTTAGTTGTTGCTGTTGCACTTATAGTTGGCGATAAATGCATACAATCACAATGAAAACAGCATCATTCAATTATTATATAGGGATAGCAATTATTGTTAGCTAATAATTACACGGAGAGAAATATTTATGATCTTAAGATTGGAAAAAGTAGATGTTATCCGGTACTATCGTTATGCTACTCGGTACTATCAAAGATGTTACAAAAAGTATGGTTATGTTACCCATTA